GGGGGCTGCCCTCCGGGCACCCGGGGGTGTGCGCGCCCCTCCGTAGTTACTCATTTTCTTTTATTTAAAGGAAATGTTAGATTTGAGCTTCACTGACGGATTTAGTAAGTGTTGCGCGCATAGTTTGCTCGACAGCCTCTTAGCGGTCTTGCTGTTGAAGGCAGACAGAGCCAGCGAAGCTCTGGGAGCAGCCGGCCCGGCGCTGGTGCCGGCCCCTGCCTTCGGCACCGTGCTGCCACCGGCGGCTGTGATGCCGAGCGGAGACAACCAGGCTCGGCAGCTCTCGGAACTTCCAGCCGCTGCTCTCTCTGCTTTGCTGTAAAGTTTTGTTCTTCTTACTTGCGTCTTTTCCTAGCGGCTCCGCCCGTGGGAGTTTCCAAAGCCTGTTCCTCCTGTGTAAGAACCGCTGGTGTCAAGGAAGCGTGCGCGCAGTGCGACCAGTTTGTCTGTCAGAACTGCAGCAGGCTCTGCAGCTGCTGCAACGCGGTTACCTGTTCTTCGTGCTCCACTGTTGAGTAAGAGCCTTTTGAATTCTTAAGCTTATCTTAATTATATGTGCCCTGAAAATCGGCTGTAGCATATGAAGACCCAACCTAGCTCGTCCGCCTGAAGGACTTGAACTCTTCTCATGTTTCTTTAGCGGCAGTAAAGCTGTCTGAAACATGGGGATAAAAATGCCTGTGTGAAGTTATCTAATCAGTATTAGTACAAGTCTAGTTTAGCTTCTCATTTAAATGTTCTAGGAGGCAAAAATTCCTCTTGCTTTCCTGCCAGCAATATAGTGTGCTGGCCAGTGATAAACGAATACACTCTGAAGGAGTAACCTTAAGTTTTTGCCATCATTGTTAGAAGTTCTGTGATATAAAGAGTGTGTGGTATAGGAGTTCTGTGTTTACAGTTGATAATGGCATTCTTTGGGATGTTTGTTTAGGATCGCATTCTTTGTTATGTCCCAGAAACAGTAGACACACTGACTTTGTTTCTTTTGGTTTTCCTTGTTTTTGTTTTTCCTTTTCCCCTAGTTATGGTGATATGGGAGAGCAAGTTCTCTGCAATGGTTGTTCCATATTTCAAGTCTGAAGCTTGATGAAATAGCCTTCGTGGCCAAGATGTCCATGAATTTCATGAAGTCTTCTTATGGCTGGTCAGTTAATCCTTTTAGCATGTGAATTAATTATGGAGTTTCTATGTTTTATATCTTTATATTGTACTTTTTAATATTGTAGCTAAATAAACTTTTATATTTTGAGGATTCCTAGTTTATTTCAAGTCAACTTTCTCCTTTTCCCTAGTTGTGGTATGCCTATCTGGAGTGGGCCACTTTGTGCTATTACCTGGTGTTCCTTACGTGATATAGAATTCAGAATATTCATGCAGTGTCTCTCCACTTTTTGCTCAAGTTAGGACATGCTTTTGTGGGATCAGAATAGAAATAATTTGCTCCTTACATGCTTCCAGGGGAGCGTAAATCTATTCTGGATGCACAATATTTTCTTTTTGAGCTAACTGGAAAAATCAGACAGGCCTGAAGGTTTTTGTAAATAGAGAATTTGCTGATTTCTGGTTAAATTTTTTTAAATTGTCACGAACATCTTATCACTGACAGCTTGAATGGTTTGAATTGTTCTTTCCATGGTAGCTTTGATAGAAAGAACAATAGTACACCAGGCTTGGAGCAAAAAGCTTTTCTCAATAGTTCAGTGTCAAAGACTAATTTTCCTGTACTGTCCTTGCAAAGTCCTTCTTGGAAAGCGGCTTGTTTGTGCAAGTTGATCATCTACATTGTAAACTTCATATTGTCCCGAATACCCACTCAAAAATAACTCATGAAGTGGTCTGAAAAATGGTGAACACTCAGGTGTACCCCTGCATAAACTAGATCATTCCTCATTTGCCCTTCGTATCCCTGCAGAGACCAGTCTGCTTAGTATTGCTTGCACTGTGGGAGCGAGACTGTTGTTAAATACTACTGGAAAGCTCCTCAAAGTAACTTTCTTTTACTGTTTTTGCTGTATTTTTAAAAAATAAAACCACTAGACTTTTCATCTTGCAAATCAACCATACGTAAGAAAAAACTACAGTGGTCTTTAATGAAAGGGAAATGATGATTTAAGTGGCTGATTTCAGACTGTTGGAAAAAAGGAACAGATTTGAGAGGAAAAAAATTGTCATGGCACTTATAGGGGAACAGAACATTAGCTAATTATTTGCCCTGAATTCCCAAAGCAAAGTCTGCCGCTCACGCTTCCCAGTCTTCTCAACTGTAATTAGTATGTTGTGATTGGTGTAACTTTTTTTTTTTTACCTCTTCCCCTCCCCTCTAGCCATTTCTATTTGAAGGAATTGGAAGGCCATTGCAATGAAAGCTGAGAGACTTAATTCTCTTGTGGCAACATCTTTGTTTGACATGCTGTTGAAAGCGTGCTGGGTATTTTCGTGTTTCAGAATACTGCAACTAACCAAGCAGAACAGTAAATACTTTAACAAAGGGTGGGGTGATAGCTGTTGCTGAATAGCGTTACTTCATAGCTGCACATTGCGTGGCTTTGGATATATCAGCCACAATGAGGTGCAAGATGACATTCTTTCTTGCCCTAGTGTAATACTTTGTATAACTATTCAGAGACACTTTAAAAGCATTTGTGCACTTTAGGGTATCCTGGAGGGGGTGAGGGTGGTGTCTCTTCACTACTAGGTCAATGTCTGTGTGCTAGCTTAGTCTGGCTGATGAATCTGGTCTGTTTCTCCATCCCCAAACTAAACAACAACCAACCAGAAGTCTACATCGGTCAAGTGAGCTAGTAGTAAAAGTATTAGACAGAGTGTGCAGTAATGCCATGGTATTATCTATCTTTTCAAAACTGGAACAGATTAAGTCAGGATGATGGCAGATCTCTGGTACAGTTCCCAGCTGTCGGGTATCATAGGGCAGATAAAAAGGTTGTTCCTGTGGTAATCATCTTACAACACAAAGCTGAGTTTTATGAATGGGAAGAGCCAGTGGGTTACTGCATTTAAGTGTTAGTTTTAGGAAAGAATTTTAAAACTTGGCTTTGTTTCACTTGAAGTTCTAAGCATTGAACAAAAATGTTTTCAAGCCTATTTTTCAAACTGAAACCTTCAAGTATGTATCTGCTTTTTCTCATTCTCTCCTGAAGGTGCGAGACTGAAAATACTGCTTTGCTTCTAGGCTCCTGGAGAGATGAGACATGTTGTTTACAAATGATTTATGTTTCAAAGTAGTTGATAGATATGTTTTTTTGGCTCATTTAGTCACTGCTGTGTTTCAGAGAAAGCTGTCCTCTGTAAACAATGACGTGGATTTCATCGCTTGAAGTTCTTATTTGTTATCCTCTAGCCTACCTCTTGAAAAATGGTTACTCATTAGGACAGATACCCGATGCAGAGTGAAGAGCTGGGGGAAGAAAAAAGCAAGAGGGCTGGAAGAGAATGGTTAGAGGTTGGGAGGAGCAGGAGGAGCACATAACAGTGTGGTCAACTCTTGCATTGGGGTGGTGCATCATACATGTAAGAAATGGGGGATTTTTTTTTTTTTTTAGTGGTTACCAGCGTATTTGCTTCTTTGGCTTCAGAAGGTGTGAAAAACTGCTTCTTGTGTGCTTGTATCTCCCAAAAGACTCAAATTTCGTTACTGAGGAAAGTGCCTGCCCTGTTCCTGCAGTTCTCAGATGAACAATGGGAGGTAGGACTGGGGACTACTTTTAAATCTTTATATTGCCTGCAGAAAAAAATCTATGAGAAGGGAAGAATCTTAGGGTGAGAGGTCCAAAGATCTTTCTCTATGTTTAATTAACACCTACTCACAAGGCCTTGTCTGTTGCCACTGGTCATAGAGCCGTATGTGGATACTCGTAGGACTGCACAGGAGAGCCGGAGAAATTGTCTGATTTAATAATTGAGCAGGAAATTGTTTTTTTGTACCATGCTTTGTTGTTATCATATGTTCTTCCCCTCCTATTCAGTGTAAAGTAAAATCAAAGTTTGCGTGGTGTTCAGAGGGAAGGAGATCCTCCGAGGAGCCAGCATACTGATGGGTGAAAATATCCTACAGTAATGATTTTACAGGTGGATGAGAAAATTCTTCTGAGGCCTGTGTATCATTACTGGTGAAATAAGTCTCAAAGAGCACAGTTTTATGTCTGAAAGGAAGTCAACTGATCTGATCATGATAAAACAATTTCTTTTAAGCCTAATGTGAGTAAATACTAGAAATTTATGGTTTCAGAGATACCACATATTCTTTTAAGGACAATCTAAGGTGGTAAATGACTTCAGCAGTCTTCAGTATCTACAATCTGCGTTAGAACAAACCCACACAATATTATGAAGAACTTTAGTAAAAAGGTCAAATACACTTATCTTCTTCAATAGCATTGACATGCATCCCTCATAGTAGTGTTGTGTTCTTGGTGGGTAGATCAGATTTGGTGGTTACGCAAATAACCTTTAGTCCTGTGCGCACAGTGAGTAATTCTTGTGTATTTTGCAGATCAGGTCAGAAGCCTGAGGAAAGTGAGACAGACACCTTAATAAAAAAATCTTAGCTGAGGACACGAGTCTAGCCAGTGCCACAGCACCTAAGCCTCTTCCCCTCCTTTTGTATTAGTGTCCTACCCATTTGGACCCTGACTTGTAACCAGTTCACAGCCTTTTTTTTTTTTTTCTGCTCTTCTTTCTGGGCAGGTGATAACTAGATGCAGCTGTATTTTATCTCAGTACAGGGCATAAAAATGAAGTTACTTAGGTGTATGTGAATATGGGTAAGGCATTTATGCTTTGCTTCTGTGCTCTATTTGCTACCATCAGCTGTGAGATACTAAGAAGTGGCAGCAATCTACAAATGCTTTTAATCTTCTGAATCTTTTCTGCAGAGGTGCAACCAAGAAGTAGAAATGGAACAGTGTCTTTGTGCCTAGGTTTGTTAGGTCTGACTCTTTTGAAAACGTACAACTAGCCAGTAGGTGAATTGGTTAGACAACAGCAAATGCCAGCACTATGCAAATAATACATACTTCTCTCTTTCACCATGCAGGACTCTACTAGTACTTGCACGATGGTTTTGTGTTTTGGCAAGATCAGATTGGATTAAAAACTTGAATCCTAGCAAAACTTAACTGATACTAAACTCCCACCTATGCTGTATGTGTACAAACTTACATACGCTGCTCCTTTGTAACTTTTGGTTAGTTCTAATACTGTTTCATTATGGCATATGATGCAACTGTTCACTATTTGTGTCACCTTTACCTTCCATCTAGGTTCTGATCGTGCTCACTACCTGGGCATGAAGCCCTCGGTGTCTGGGGAAACTCCAGGTATAGAGTGTGGCAGTGTATCTCTGCGGTTTATTCTGTATATGTCAAGCTTGTCCTCTGTTCTGTGCCGTGGTTTACCATCAATTGTCAGACTAAGCTTAGATTCCAAGCTTTTGTAGAAATGTGTTGGGTTGTCCAAGCAGAGGGAGGAAAACCTCAAACCATCCAACAGAAGCACTTTACCAACAGGCAGAACAAAACGGCTACAGCAGCACAAAGATTGTATAGCCAAACTTTGTCACATAATGTTGGGTGTTACAGCTTTACAAATGTGAGGGTTGGTGGGAGGCTCTTCCAAGATAGCACCTTTCTACTGGCAGGTTTTTTGCATGAGGACAGGTAAGGTTAAGAAAGACCACATGTACCCCAATGTTGAGCTTTCTTGTGCTCTTTCTTCCATTCTCCTTAGGGTTTTTCATTACTGAATCTTACAAGGGAAGGTAGCAAAGCTTTTAACATTGTGTTTTGTTTGTATTGAAGCAAATTGGTTAACCTATTAAGAGTAGCCAAGAGGCTTCAGAAAACAGTAATGATTCTTCTTTAAAAAATAAAGAGGAGCTATGTAATTCAAAGGAAGACCGACACTGCTTGTGGATAGAAAATTGGAAGAAAATTATTCTAAATCTTACTTTCTACTTTACATTAATAAAATTGCAATAGAGTGAAAATTATCAGACACTGTATATTTTATAATAACTATCACAGTTATATACATAACTTTTCCACCTTTTCCTTTTGTATAGA